GGTGGTTAACTTTGCCTGAATTGACTTCTTTGTTTTGAACACTTTATACATTTTTGTTGAATTCATTTGTACAATTACCTATAATCAAATCTACATATCTAAGATTATTTTTTTGCCTATGTATGGAAAGGAATTCATGTTTATGCCTTCGTCTACACTAGAAGAAATGGGTATTACTTCTGATTCCGTGAAATTAGAGATAAGATGTGGCATGGATTATCAAGAAACATTTATTCTTATGGGACATTAGCATACTCTCTTTTCGGATATTAAAAATTTTATTTGTAATATTCTGAATATTTTATAAATTCAGAACAAATTTCATGTTTTTCATTGTAAATCAGCTGTAATAAGTTGTTCTACAACAACAAATATACGTAGTAATGGTAAAAATGACACCAAAAAGAAGGAAAGAATCATTTCAAAGCTGAAACGTTTATTTATATTTCACTTGAATTATAAACTTACAAGAAAATAAAGACTATAACCCTAACTATTACATCCCTAACCCCACAATTTAAAACTGCTCTGAAACCGAACCCCCCCCCCCTTCCCCATGTGATGAAGCGCCGCAGCTGTCACCTCATCTCTGCGAGGCTGGTTTGTAAAGAACGACCGTGACATATTTGGACCGGAACCGCTGCGTTGTGGCCAAAGCAACCGGTTCGGAAGACGATGCTCTGCTTTCAGCAGTGCAATGCATGTGGTTTAGGACCACGGGGTTAGGCACCGGGAGGGGTGCAGACTGGGATGAGCCCTCTCCAACTTCCCCCCTCGCTTTATTTAGGGCGCTCCTCTTTAGATAGGGAGGAAGCCGGGGTGGGCCCTTCTTTTCCTCATCTTCTGTGAAGTAGAAGACATTGTTGTAGCTTGATTCTGGGGACGGTGGGGCCTCAAATCCGGGGACCGTTGGCTCATACTGCATGCATATGTAACACACACATTCATTCAGGTCTATTTATACAACTTTTCCGATTTCCAAACACACGACGCTCAAGAAAAGGTTCAGGGAATTCATTCGCCAAACCTTTACTTGAGTCTCTATGCATAATTAAACTTTCTGCTTACCTCATTTCCATCTTGTTGAGTGCTCATTTTGATGGAGTTGAGAGATAGACACTTAACCAGGGATGAATAGCTTGTCTAAATGGAAGAACTTGAAAATGAACACTGTTACTCTGCAATGCGATTTTAAGAATATGTGCATGACTTAAAGAGAAATGTACAATCCATAGATTCACACATAAGTTCAGCCAAGAACAACACCTAGCATAATTACTACATTCGGAAGAAAATACTAAACAGACAGAAATGGCAATTAATCAAACATACTAGAAATTGATTGTCTACTCTTCAATGAGTTTCCTTTTTTATTGTCCGTCCTGAAGGAGTTTCCTATCATTTAAAGAGAAGAACTGGTTTTTATAGAAAATGTGAGAACTATTAATGAATATTTAACCCCATACATGCAAAATATTAAACAGACACGTTTCTACACCGTTAATCTCAAGTGCCAAGTGTTAGCTATACGTGGTGATCATGGGCAACGCACCGACAATGCGTATTGTTACCCTTTCTTTTTCTAAATTGAGATGTTACATACAATGCAAATGCACTATAAATATAAATCAACGGGATAATTTCCTGTTTTGATCTTCAACTCAAAATTGGACAAGATCTGTCCCTCATCAACAATAATGACCAGGACTTTTTTGTTGTTAGATCTTAATGGGATACTTTCTAGCATCCAATTTTCACTCTAAAATCATATTGTTAGTTTTTTTTATAGATTTAAATGGAAACTTGTTGGAAGCATATGCAAACCAGACTTGATGAATATGGTGTGTGTGTGTGCAGTGGCGGACCTAGAGTTATGTGAGAGTGGGTTCATTTTTTATATGTTGGACACATATTTTCTACTCTTTTGGTTCCAAAATATTTTACATTTTATGTAAAATAAAACAAAATTTCATTATTTTTAATATTCATCTTTGGTAAAGAAATTAAAAACAAAACGTATTTTAAAATTAAGTCAAAAGTTTAACAAAACAAGAAATAATGAAAATTGTTAATTTTTTCAAATAATCAATCAAAATACCTAAATTATAAATAAAAGCTACTCTGTTGAAAACTAAGGCAATACCTTGAGCAAAACAAAAAAAAATACTCTATGAAATTCCCTGTATATGTGGCTAACAATGTGAACCCACCCAAATAAACTTTTATAATTTGTACTCAAAGTTATCTAGGAGTGTAAAATAGAAGTGCAAAAATGTAAAATAGGAGTGCATAAATTGAAATTAGGTACTGTAGCTAGCATTTGAAAAAAAAAATTAGTGGGTGCACTTGACCCCACTTGGACCATTGTAGGTCCGCCCCTGTGTGTGTGTGTGTTTGTTTATTAGGTTTTGTTTACCTAGAAACTACAATTTCATCCAATAACCGAGCAAGGAAAGGACTTAAAAATTTTCATATGGACATGTATAAAATCTTGTACTAACTGGTAAGCACTTAAAATCAACAAGTATCACCATTTTTAATCAAATAGCACCAGTTTAGACAAGTTCACTATTAATCACTGTGGACTCCTGGGTGTGTGTGAATTTATTTTTTATGTATAACCAAAAAAAGAGCACACTGGTTTTTGAGCAAGATTGGATCTTCCATTGTAAAAAAAATCCTTAAAAACAGTACTTTAAAGCTTTCAGAATGAAATGACACACCAATTCAATGTACCATAAAAGAAATCAAATGACCAGACCTAAAACTGTCCAATTGTGAAGCCAAAAATCAAATTAAAGTTCAAAAATTCTACACACACATAATCCCACCATGCATGTGCAATCAATTAAACTGGAAATTAATTCAAACCAAGTAAAAAAAAACCAACAGATCTAATCAGAAGAAGAAGAAGAAGATCGAAGAAGAAATGGACCTTGAAAGGGCTAAGCAGAGGAGGAGCAGAAGGAGTGAGTGAGGAAGTGGGTGCCGCCATGCCTCCTGGCTTAACTATAAGGGGCCGAAAAAGGCTGAGAAAAGGGAAGAAAGCAAAGGAATGGGAAGAAATTGAGGAGGGAATTCATGAAAAAGAGGCGTCGTCCAGCCTCCGCCCTCGCTGGCAACTAACTTAACATCTGAGATCACCTCGACCATGGATTACCCAAATCTATTCGTGATAGAGAGAGACGAGAGGTGTCCAATCCTTACACTTGGTCTTATTAAATTAAAATCATTTTTCAATCGAAAAAAATGAGATGCAATAGAATAATACAAAACATCATTGCTTTACAAATTTCGAAAGACTTCTTTATAAACTATATTATTTGTACAATTTGCGAGAATATTGTCTTCATTGCATATCAAAATCTTCAAGCCACTACGATTAGTTACTCTTGAAACTGCAATATAGAGTTACACATGACTAAAATTAAACATGCAAGATTATTGTTACGGATTCCTGTGATAAACCTTAATTGCTCGTAGCTTCATCATTAAGATCATGGGTGGCCCGGAGGGTATGCAAAGTGGTCAACCGCACAGTACCCCTAAAATTTTAGGGCCCCATATTTTTAAATTTGTTAATAATTTTAAAGAAAAAATATTCTAAAAAATAAAATATGACCAAAATGTAAATTTTAGGACCAGACCAATTTTACTTTTTCATTTTTCGGGGTCGGCCCTGATTAACATTGATGACCGCTCATCAACATTTTTCAAAGCAGTTAAAATCCTCATTTTTCGTAGGAATGATAGTTTTGAAACGTAGGGGAAAAAAATTCACGATGAATGTTATGACTATGAAAGCTTTGTAAATGGATGTATTTATAATACTACCTCCGTCCCATTGTCTTTGTCCAGTTTTGACTTTTGAAACTGTTCATCTAAGCACGTTGACTCATCAAATTCTCTCAATGTGTAAGCCTAAAAATAGTCATGTGTGATCTTGTTTGATTTGTCTTAACATATAAATTATTAATATATAATTTTTATAATATTTTAATATACAAATTACAAGATAAAATGGATTAAAGAAATGCATTGGATGGTGTGCCAAAATGTAAGTGGACAAAGACAGTGGGACGGAGGGAGTATGATTTTTGCATACGGGGTTAAAAAAATTATTCATTTTTCAAAGTGATATACAACAACAACAACCCAGTTAAATCCCACAAGAGTAGGGTCTGGGGAGGGTGTGTATACGCAGACCTTGCCCCTACTCGAAAGTAGAGATGCTGATTCCAAAGAGACTCCCGACTCAACGTCGAAAGTTGCATTGCTTGACTAACTGCTACTTCATTAATTAAAGAAGCGCAGACAGTTTAGAGATTCATTTTAATTTATTTTATCACACCCCAAAGCCAAAAATTGATGAAATTTTGGCTCCATCGGAGATGATGGAAATTACTATTACTATATTTAAGTTACTTAATTTATTATATTTAAAATTACTATAATTAAAATGACACGGTAATTAATACAGAGTATACAATTATCTAGTCACACGGTTATACAATTAATATCTTGGTTAATTATTACCGTTTTTGATTAAAATTACTATATTTAAAATATAGTAAAATATAGCTATTATAAAATATAGCCACTATAAATAAATATAGTCATTATAAAATTAATATTATAAAATTACTATAATTAATTTGACACGGTAATTAATATACAATTATGTAGTCACACTGTTATAAAATTAATACTGTGGTCAATTATTACCTTTTTTATTATTATATATTTATAATTTGGCCGTAATATGTCGTTCTACTACAACAACAAATATAAAGGGGAAGTTCACGAAGTTCGAGTCTCAGCGAAGGCAAATGCACTAACTCATTGTGCGTCATTAAGTTGAATAAAAAATAAGAACAGATGCAACATTGTTATCGAATGAATTGCACTTAAAAAAAGATGGAAGACAACACCTCTAAGTTCAAACATTTATTTATATATCTATTGAATTATAAATTTACAAGAAAAATAAAATTTGACCCTAACTATTCCAATTTTTTTTAAAAAAGCACAGCCGCCACTAATCAGCCACCACTTCACCTCTGCGGCGCTGGTTTGTAAAGCACAGCTGTAACATATTGGGAGCCAAGGCGCTGCGTCGTTGACACCGCCACGGCTTCCAGGGGAAAATGTCTGCCCCCAGTATAAGCATCTGTGTACATGTGGTTTAACACCACAGGGTTGGGTGGCGATGAGGATGAAGCATCTCCCCCTCTCGTGCTTATTTGGTTCAGCACACACGTGTTTAGATGTGGGGGGAGCCGCGGTGGGCCCTGCTTTTCCTCTTCTTCTGTGATGAAGAAGACATTGTTGTAGCTAGAGTCTGGTGATGGCGGGGTTTCAAACCCCGGGACAACCGGTTCGTACTGCACACATATAAGATATAACGTACATTCATTCAGATGTATTTGGTGAAGATAGCTTAGAAGCCCTCATGTAAAGGGTATGATTGTAATAAAACATGGCATTCGCTAAACCTTTCTTGAGCATTTGGATACGCTTAATTAGATTTTCTACTTACTTCGTTTCCAGCTTGCTGTTGGTTGTTCATTTTTATGAAGACTAGAGATATAATAAGTGCTTGAAAACAGATATTGTTATCCTGCAATATAATATAAGAATATGTGCATTAACCATAGCTTTAGAAATATAATCATAACTTAAAAGCCAACAAATGTACAATCTACAGATGCACACAAAAGCTCAGTCAAGAACAATGCCTAGCATACTTGCTGCAATTGGGAAGCAATTAAAAAAACAAAACACGCAAATGGTGATCAATTAACATACTAAGAATTGATGATCTTCTTCTTCAAACTAAGTCTTCATTGAGTTTCCTTTTTTATTATCCTTCCCGAAGTACTTTGATATCCGTTTGAAGAAAAACGCTGGTATTTATAGAATGTGTGAGCAACATTAATGAATAATTTAACCCCATACATGCAAAATATTAAACAGACACGTTTCCACGCCGTTAATCACAAGTGCCAAGTGTTAGCTGTACGTGGTGATCGTGGGAAACATACCGAATGTATTATCGTTTCTTTTCTAAATTTGGATATTAAATACAATGCAAATTGGTTGAGTTAGTTTCTTAACATGGCATCACAACCTTCTTGACCCAAAGGTCAAGGATTCAAATGTCATTGTCACTTAGACTTCAAAAAATAATGTTTAAGTGTAAGGCTTGGGTAAAAAACAGATTCCTCTAGGGCATGAGGGACGTATTAGAGTAAAAAAACTTTTCTTTGGAGTTTGGGCCTTCAATCACAAACTTGAGCTTTGGTTGAATTAGTTCTTTGACACTTGGCTTCTACCCATAAAAATTGGTTGTAATAAGTAAATTTCTACAATAATCGACAAAAGCACATATGTTAACTAGCACTTAGTTATTATATGTCAGTTTCAAATGATGAAACATTAAATGAAATATCCTATTACCTCTAAACCTCACTTGCCAAATAAATACAGAGTAAAAAAAAATTATGGGATGCTGTCTTGTTTTGATCATCAACTCAAAATCGGACATTTTTTGTTGTTAGATTTTAATCTGATAACTTCCGGTTTTCATTTTTCACTTGAAAATCATGTTGTTTGTTTGGTTTTAGATTTATATGGAAAATGGCATGAAGCATTTGCAAACCATACTTATGAGACTGGTGTGTGTGTGTGTAGTCTTTTTACTCTTTAGATCATAGGAAGGCCCTTGAAACATTTTTCCCAAAATCTAACACTTGAGTAGTTGAGTGAGATATAGTGGATTTGTTTGGTTTTGTTTACTTAGAAACTGTAATTTCATCCAATAACAGGGCAGTGGGAAAAAACTTAAAATTTTAATATGCACCTATATAAAATCTTCTACTAACTGTTCACCACTTAAAATCAAGAAGTACCATTATTTTTAATCAATATCATAAGTTTAGATAAGTTCACTATTGATCACTGTGGACAATTTGTTGGGTGTGAGTAAATTTATTTTTTCTGAAAAAAAGAGCTCATTGTTTTTAGCAAGATTGAATCTTCCATTAATCCATTGAAAAAAATCCTTATAAACAGTACTTTAAAGGTTTCAGAATGAAATGACACC